TAGGGACATCCAGGGTCGGGGAGACAGGGCAGCACTGAGGGGCAAGCAGGAGCTGGGCTGGGCAGTGGCTCAGGGGCCAAAGCTCCAAGGACTGACGCAGGGGACTGGCCGTGGGTTGGCCTGGCCATGCCGGAGCTTAGCTGAGGCCTGGGGAGGGGGGAGCGGAGGCTCAGAGCGTGGGGAGGAGGGTCTCTGGATTTGTAAGGTGTAGGCTGTGGCACCCGATGTACGCACATGGGAGTGTGAGGGCCAGCGTCCAAGCTGGGGACCTGGAGGAGGTCAAGGGCAGGTGTCTGGGGGGAGAAGGAGCCACCTCAGGCTGTGAGCCAGATGGGAGGGAGGGTGGCCATTGGATAAGAGCCAGGTGGTCAGGCAGGGCTGAGGAGGGCAGCTCATCTCTGGCGCATGTTCAAGGACAGACAACACAGCCCTGTGGAGCCCAAAGAGGATCGAGATGCCCAAGGCAGGGAGGGACAGAGGACAAGGCATGGGGTGGGCGTAGGAGTGAGGGCAGAGGGGCGGGTGTGGAGGAGCCTTGTGGTTGAGTGTTCCTGAGCTGCAGGACAGGTGGGCGTGGCGTTGAGGAACTCCGACAGCATCCCTGGGGTGGGTCTGGCTCAGAGCTTCAGACACTGCCCCTTTGCCTTCATGTCTGTCTCTCTTTTGCAGAATTGAAACGAGGAATTTCCCAAGACTTAGCTTCTTCCCCCAAATTAGACAAATACAAAATAGCAAGACAGTTGACTGAAAAAGCAATCAAGGTAAAGCTCTCGAACTGGGTGGGGAGGGTACTTCAGATGGAGATTTATTTTGGAGTTGGAAGTCTGAGGCCCAGCCTGCAAGGCTCTCCCGGCCAGGGTGTCCCTAACTGGGCCAGCTCTGGCCTCTTCCTGGGGCTGGGGCTCCTCTCACCGCTGTAGCGTTGCCCTGTCCTGCCCTTCATGGCTGCCGGGGGTCTCTGGGGCGAGGTGCGTGTCCTGGTTCGTCTCTACTGACGGGAAGCGAGGGCCTTCTGGGTCAGAGACTGGTGCTCGCTTGCTCAGGGAACCTCTCGTGCCAGCCCAGGCCCCAGTCACACACGTGTAACTCTGCAGCTTGTGGGGCGGCCGACACCCCCTCCCCCAGGCAGAGAGGACTCCCTGTCACTGCCATGGCGGCGTGGCCCTCGGGGAGGAGGGAGCTGAGGGAGGTGCTGGTGTCCTGTGAGGGGCCGAGGGCTCCCCGCTGCCCTGAGAAGGGGAAGAGCAAGTGAGGCGGGGAGCGCTGCACCTGTCTTCACAGCGTGCCCTCCTGGGACGGGCAGAGCGCAGCGGGGTCCAAACCGCCTCGTCCCCCTCGCGTTCTGGGGCGCAGTAGACACAACGTGCGCGGGCTGCAGGTGTGGCTTGTCTGAGGTTGGACACGCTCGGAGAAGCGGAACACGTCCACCCGTGTGGTTGGGCAGTCAGGGTGAGGGACGCTCCCCCGGCCTTCTGAAGCTCCCCCGGGCCTGCAGCCATCCCTCTCTCCCACCTCCAAACCCTGGCAACCGCCCACGTGGTTTTTGTGACTCCATCGCTCAGTTTCAGGAACCACAGAAGCTCCTTAATTGTCCGATTTTCTTAAACCTTCCAGTGAAAAACCATTCAGGGCTCTGAACATCGCTTTAAGTGCTGTATTAGCTGCACTCCACACGCTTCTACTTTGTAATCTCTTTGTCAATATTCGGTTCAAAGTCTGGTAGTTTTATATTATTCTTCACTGAGCCATAGGTTACTTAAAAATATGGCTCTTAGGTAGCTATGGTGACACAGCAGTAACGCAGCGCGCCGCAGTGCCAGAGCCACAGGAGAGGGCCCAGACTTGTGTCCCGGGTCTGCCTGTCCGTGTCAGCCGTGTGCATGTGTCTGTGTGTGTCAGCCATGTGCTCATGTCTGTCCGTGTCAGCCTTGTGTGCATGCCTGTCCGTGTCAGCCGTGTGCGTGTGCCTGTACATGCCAGCCGTGTGTGTGTGTGTCCATGACCCCGGCTGGCTGAGGCTGGGAATGGGTCACAATGTGAAAACACTGTCAGGGTGTGCTTTGTCTCTCTTCCGTCTCTCTCATGGAAGAAGTGAATAAACTTAAAAAGTGTACGTGGTTTTTCATTTCTATATTTCTGCATATTTTTTGTAGTTACAGTATTCTCTTTTTTTTTTTTTTTTGAGAGCTTTTCGCTATAGGGCACGTGCGCTCGCCAGACAGACAGAGAGAGACATAGAGACAGAAAGCGAGAAATCACCCCCCAGGGGGATTGGTCACGCTGCAATCCCTTCTCCTCCATTCTCCTCTCGGGATCTTGGGCACGCACGCACACGCGCCCAGCGTGAGTTTAAACCACCAGGTCCAGGACGTGAACTGCGGTCGACCAAGTGGGAGTCCAGCAACATAGCCATTACGCTAACTGCTGGTTCCCCAGTATTCTCATTTTCTAGCTTAACTTCATTGTGGGTGCAAATGATCTATGTAATCAGATGACAATATCGCACTGGAATTTGTTTAGACTTCCTTTATGCCAAACATTTGCTAATGCATGTAAAAGTTGGTGTGGAGTCCTTTACCCACGGTCGTGAAGGCAGAGTTTGCTATTTGACTTGCTTAAATTCCCTATAGTCCTATTGAAGCTCCCCTCGATCATTTACTGGGAGAGGCATGTGAAATATTTCACTGTGTGGATTTGCCTATTTTGTCCATTTTGCTTTATATAATTTAATTTATAGCCCTCTCTTTGTTTAGAGGTGTTTGCCTTAGGGTGTATGCACTGGCTGGAGAGACAAGAGACAGTGAGAGGGAAAGTGAGAACTCACCCCTGGGGGTACGGCCATATTGCAGTCCCTTCTCCTTTCTCTTCCCGGGATCTTAGGCACGCACGTACAGGTGTCCAGAGTGATGCCCGACGTGAGTTTGAAGCCACTGGGTCCAGGACTGGAGTTGCAGTCCACCATGTGGGAGTCCAACCATGTAACGGCTACACCATCTGCTAGCCCCAGTTTGTAGCCCTCTTAATAAGTGCTAACACATTTTTTTTCTGGTAATCAAACCTTTTTAAAATTATGAAGTTAGTAATGTTTATTTGTCCCTAAAGTATCCCATAATTACATCCTTTTATTTTCTAACCTATCTGTAGACTTTTGCTTTCAGTGATTAACAGATTGTTGTTTTTGTAAATAAAAGAATTAGCTTATTAGTTTTTAATCTGTCTATCTACCTATATCTATCTATCTATCTGTCTGTCTGTCTATCATCTATCTATCTATATGTCTCTGTCTCTATATCTCTATCTGTCTATATCTATCTGTCTCTATCTCTATCACCTATCTATCTCTATCTATCTCTCTATCTCTATCTATCTCTATATCTATCTAGCTAGCTCTCTATCTATCTCTATCTATCTATCTATCTATCTATCTATCTATCTATCTATCTATCATGTCTATCTCTATATATTGTCTTGCCCTCTTTTTGTCTTTTTTAAAAAGTTACTTAATTTTCTTCCTTCTTCCTTTTTCTTTTTAAGTTGCTGTAGGGCATGTGCACTTGCCAGAGAGAGAAAGAGAGCTGAGAGAGCATGCCTCAGAGAGACAGCCACATCGCAGTCTCTTCCCCTGACCCTCTCAGGATTCGGGGCACGCGTGCATGTGTGCCTAGTGTGGTCTTCAAGCCACTGGGGTCTAGGACTCAGTTCTACACGCCACGTGGGTTTCAGTCACCTTAGCCACTTTGCCACCTCGCTGGCCCCACTTACTGAGAGAGGGAGAGAGACAGCGCCTTCAGCAGTCCACTCTGTGATCCTCCACAGCCCTCCCAGCCAGTCGGGGTCGCAGGTGTTCACGCACGCCCAGTGTGAGGAGATGCACCTGGAGACCAGACCCGGACCTCCTGGTGCTTGTAGCATTGCAGAGCGTGGAGCTGCGGCTGTGCTGCCATGCTGGGCCCGTCCGCCTTGTAGTTAGACCAGGCTGTGCACCTGCGCCGGCACTCGTGAGCTCCAGCCAGCTCCTGCTGCTGCTCCATCCCCACTTTCAGTACGTGCAGGCCAACCTGCTTCTTTTCCTCTCCTTTCTTGCCTCTGTTTGGACTGGCTACATTTTATTCCATTCCCCCCTCTTATATTTTAGAAGTCTTATATTCTGGGGGCTGGCAGGTGGCATGGTGGTTAAGGATGTTGGACTCCCACATGGCCAACCACAGTTCAAGTCCTGGACCTGGTGGCTTGCTCTCTCTCTCTCTCTCTCTCCCTCTCTAGTCAAATTAAAAATAAATAAATAAGTAATGTTAAATAAAATAGTTCTTATTAAAAAAAAAGAAGTCTTATATTCTATTTTTGTGTTTCTCTTAGGCAGTGTATTCTGCTCACCTACTAAAATTAATTCATTTTTCTAAAATTACTCAATGTACCCACAACCTGGCAGATGGTGGAGGAGGGCAGGAAGTCTTGCAGAGCTGCAGGGCGCCAGCCCTCTCACTGACTGTCCAGCTCTGCCACCGCTCTCCCAGTTCATCCCCTGCCCTGCCCATGCGCACAGCCTTGTTGGGGGCTGGGGGCAGACCTTGGATCAGTTTTCCAAGGAGAAGGAGGCTCAGTAAGGTCCCCTGACCGGCCAGCCTCTCGTGGGTGCCGGAGCTTGATTCACAGCTTCTTGCCATAGGCACTAGCTTTCTCTCGTCCCTGGGTGGGGTCCTCCATGGGGCCCATGTAAGCTCTTTACTGTGAACTTTGTGGGCTACCACGGTGCCTGTCCATGCTATCACGGTCCGTGCACATCGGGGGCCTCACCCGGTGTCTCAAGCTAGCCGGGCTGGGCTGGGGGCTCACCTGGGCTGCTGTCAGGGCTGCAGGGAGGGCCTGTGGGGTCTGCAGCAGGAGTGATTCTACATGTCTGAGCCTCCCACACCAGGAAAGCCTGTTAGGTTCTTTTCACCAACTTTTAGTCATTTGATCAAGGACCAGGAAGCCCAGCTCACTTGCTGAGCCTTGTCAGCAGTCACAAGAGCAGTGGCCCACCCTCCGTGTTATGACCCCTTTCGGTTACGAGCAGGGTGCAGGTTCCTGCCCTCGGGAGAGGGCCCATCTCATCAGGGGTCACGCAGTCCTGCGAGGAGGACACAGTGAATGTTTTATTATTACTTTACATCGACACACAGTGACTGCACATTTATGGGGTACGGTGTAATTTTCAGTACGCGAACACAACATATAAGATCAGACATTCGTCACTTTGTGCTGGAACATCTGGGTTCCCCCTTCTCACTATTCTGACACACACAGTGCCGTGGGACACTAGAACTCATCTTTAACCAAGTTTGTACTTCCTACCCGGCCTTCCTCTACCCTCCCCACCTCTGGGCACCTGCTGTCTTCTCTGCTGCGTGAGGACGGCTGTTCCAGAGTCTGCGTACAAGTGGAGACTCGTGCGTCTTCCCTTCTGCACCACGGGCATAAGTTGAACCGTCTTTGCGGTCCACAGAAAACCATGTGGTCGTTTTCCTGTGCTGTCGAATTTGGTTTTCTAGTATCTATGTCTTCAGGGTGTTGGCGTGACCTTGGCTTTGTCTGGTTTTGTGCTAGGGTAATGCTTGTCCTGCAAATGGAATTTGGGAGGGCTCCCCCAATGCTGGCTTTGGAACTGTTTGCAAAAGCTCTTCGAAGGTCTTGTGGAAGTCAGCAAGGAGCTGTCTGGTCTCCGCTTTTATGCTGGGAGGGATTTTGCGATGACTGCATCTCATCACTCCGGTCTCTTTAGGTCTGTCTCCACCTGCCCAGTCCCGGTAGGCTGCGTGAGTTGTGGGATTTCCACTCCTCTGGGTCTCTGGCGTGCTGGGGTGCAGCTGTTCCTCAGCGTCCCTGGCTATTGGGCTTTGTGGGACTGGTCACCATGTCTCCTTTGTCATCCCTGACTTCCTGCGTTCGGGGGCCCAGCGAGCATGGGCCCTTGCCCACCCGCTGGACCCCGATGGTCACCTGCTCGTATTGTGGGTGCTGACCTCCCTCGCTGTGCAACAGCACCCGTTTTCCTGGCGTGCCGTGGTCTCCTTGCCTTCTGTGTGCGAGTGTGAGTGTGAGTGCATGTGTGAGCAGCCCTGAGAACAAGACACCGTGAAAGTAGACATCCAGAAAGTGGCTGTCTCCACTGCCTCCTGTGACACACATGCACACACTTGCACACGGGGTGTGCACTCACCCTGTGCCTGCCCAGTCTCGGGGCTCCTCATCCAGGCGCCACGGGGCACAGTCAGTCCCGCTCTGCTCTGGGACTCCTCTCCCAGGGAGAAGCTGGCCTCTCCGTTCTCCAATCCACACGCCCTCTTGCTGTTTTAGGAGAAGAAGATTTTCTCCATCTACGGACACTATCCGGCGATCCGCACCGCCCTGCGGAGGAAGGGCTGGGTGGAGAAGAAGCTCCACTTTGTATCCAGGGTCGTTCTGAGCACCGAGGACGAAGGTGAAGAGGTCACAGCTAGCGTGGGGACACCTCGTCTTTCCATGCAGGATGGTGTGCGGCTGTCACTGGGTGCGGTGGGGGTATTGGCAACTGCTCCCAGGCCCCCCGAGCGCTGGCGTCTCCAAGTCCAGGATGTCCACACCCCGGGCAGCCAAGGCCTCTGGCACTGGTCCCTCCCCAGGGCACTCCAGTCCGGGTGGTCTCCTTTGCCCTCCAGCTCGGTCCCCACAGGCTGCACCTGGGGCTGCCCACCCTCCGCACTTGCTGGCTGGTCCACCCACTCTGCACGCCAGGGTCAGTGCCCTCGTGGCCCTGGGCCCAGCACAGGATGGGTTCCGCATAACCCTCGGGACCTGGATCGAATGCCCCGCCCCCTCCTGCAGCCCTGCCAGGGCCCCTAGTCCCGCTCTCCGTCACACTCACCCCTGCTGCCCTGGGCTATGGCGGCACTGCCTGGTAGGTGGACGTGCTGTGGACACTGGTGGCGCTGTCCCTGGGCCTGACTCAGGGCACCTGTCCGCTGAGGGCAGGCCGCACCTGGAACAAGAAGCAGCAGAGCGACGGCCAGGCCCCCGCAGGGAGTCGTGGCCGAGCGCCTGGGCCTGTGCAGGTGCCCACAGCGTCCTCCCTCGTGTCGCGTCTGCAGACCGTACGTACGCTGATGTCAAGGAAAATCAAGAACTGGCTTTAGAGAGGACAGACGACATCCACGATGTGATGGTAGGCCCCCGGGTGTGCTGAGCAGGTGTTCACTGGGCTTCTCAGGCCGCTTACCCCCGGGGTCTGCGAAGGAGAGCGCAGGGGCTGGGCCTGGCTGCACCGGGTGGGTGAGCTGACAGGTGCTGGGCTGGCCGGCTGTGTGGGATGGCAGCCCTGGTGCATCCACTCCTGCGTCCGGTGCAGCTCCTGCCTCCAGCCGGCTCCCAGGGACCCCCCTCTCGCCACCACGAGGACAAAAATCAGACCAGAGTGGGACAGGCTTGCTGTGCATGGTGTAACGGGCCAGGTCTCAGCACGGGGAGACTCAGACCGACAATGAGCCCTGGCGGAGGCTGGGCTGGGCGTGGCCAGGCACCTGTGAGCGACGTAGCTGCTGCTCTGTGGCCACAGGCCGGCCATACAGCTCGTCACGGTGCGGGGCGGCAGCATGTGCAGGGTGTCCGTGGTCACAGCTGCGGGGACACGTGTGCAGGCTGGGGGCACGTAAAGACATTGAGCCCTCAAGTTGGTGGCCTCTCCTGGCTCAGCGCGGGCTGCTGTCGCCACGTGGCAGAAGGAGGGCGGAGTCTCTTGGGGACCTCTTTAACAAGGGCCCTGATCCCACGCCAGGACTCTGCCTTCAGACCTCACCCCTCCTGAAGGCCCCGTCTCGATCCTATCACCTGGAGGTGAGGATTTCAACAGGTGTGCTTGCAGGGCTGGGGACATGTGGAGAGAGAGCTTCGCGCATGGCAGTGGCTCGGTCTGGCCCACGGCCACGCGGGCGCTCGGCCTGGTGCAGGAGGCCGTCTCACAGCGTTGTGTGTGCCCCTGTGACGCACTGTGAAAGTGAGACCGTCTGCAGGATCAGCGGTTAGCATAATGGCTATGTCTCTGGACTCCCATGTAGTCAACTGCGGTTCGAGTCCCAGACCCGGTGGCTTAAACTCACGCCAGGTGTGTGTGCGTGCCCAAGATCCTGAGAGGAGAATGGAGGAAAAGGGATTGTGATGTGGCCATCCCCCCTAGGGAGTGATTTCTCGCTTTCTGTCTCTGTTTCTCTGTCAAGCGCATGCGCCCTATAGCAAAATCCTCTCAAAAAAAGAAAGGAAGGAAAAAAAAAAAAAAGAAAGGAAGGAAGGGAGGAAGGAAGGAAGAAAGGAAGGAAGGAAGGAAGGAGGGAAGGAAGCGAGACTGTCAGACTGTAAGGGCGGGAGAGGAGGGCAGCCATGAGGAAAGGGTCGGGGTCCAGCCCTGCCTGGGCCTCAGGTCCTTCCTCAGCCTGCCCTGCAGTTGCCAGGCAGGGGCGTGTGGGCTGGTACACACGCGTGTGCCCAAGTCCTGCAGACAACTGCCAGAGGGTCTTCACCCGGAAATCAGGTCAGGGTCACCCTGGGCGGGGTGTTGGAGGGTGTCTTCGCTCCTGCGACTCTGGGCTAGGTTTCCTGACCGACACAACACACGTGTGAGCAGAAAGGGTCAGCGACAGGGATGCCCCCGGAGGCTGCATCCCCGCCCGGAGCCTTGCCCAGAGCCCTTCCAACCCTGCTGGGCAGTGGGGAGGGAGGCAGGCAGGGCACAAGCGCGGGGACTTTTCTGTGCACAGTGCACCCCAGGGCAGCCTGAGCCAACCCCAGGGGATGCCCACAGGGAGGCAGCTGGGACTCCTGCCCCGCCCCTCCACCGCAGAGGCCGCCCAGAGCCCGGCCTGGCCAGGGACTCACCCCGGACGCCTGGAGGTGGGTGCCGCCCTCGGCCAGGAAGGTCTCCCAGCAGGACTCCCACGCTGGGCGGGTGACAGGCCACGGCTCACAGGCACGTCCCACTGGGGTGGCTGCCCACAGCCCACTGCCCTTTCTTCTTGCCAGTCTAGGTTGGTAAAAAACGAAATGCCCTACTTCCTCTGGACCATCAAAAGGGACGTCATCGACTACCACAGCCTGACCTGTGACCAGATGCTGAACCACTACGGGAAGACGGCCTCCTTCACCACCAAGGTGAGCGGGGCTGGGCCAGACAGGCGGGGCAGGTGGGCGGGGGGCGGCGGGAGGCCGCCGGCTGGGGCTGGAGAACCGTTCGGGTGTGCCCGAGGCCTCTGCTGGGACCGCTGGCTGGCACCCCACCTGCCTGGGGCCCCCGCCCCTGCCCATGCCGCACCCCTGTGCCCTTCACTGTGTCTGGGAGTTCCCAGGGTGACAAGAGCCCCTCCTCAGGGTACGTAGGCCGAGCCCTGGGAGAGGCGTAGCAGGCTGCCAGTGCCCCCCCAGCCCGGGCTGAGGGGACGGGCTTTCCCTTCCCTGCAGCCTCACCCGGGCCCTGACCCACGCGAGGGGCCTGCCTGGGGCGGGGTGGCCCAGGCCATGGCCCACGGGGCAGCCCTTCTCTCGGCAAAGCCTGCGTGGGAGTTGACAGTGAGGACGCCTGGGCTGCCCTCCCCCCCGGCATCCTCGCAGGGCAGTGCATGCTGGTCCTCCTCGTCCCCAGCCTGTCCTCACCTAGCGTGGGGTCAGCCATACCTCTGTCTGGCAGTGCCACTGACTGTCTGGCAGCTGTCAGGGACACCGTGCTTTTGCAAAGGCCACCGGCCAGTGGTGCGGCATTGCCCGGGCTCACCACGGGTGCTCAACAGACCCAGGGGTGCAAGGGTTGCACCGTAGTCTGGGTGGACGTGGTAGTGGCACCCAGCTTCTTACCAGACCCGACTGGTCGTCCCTGTCCCAGAGCCTGAGCTGCCAGACCCTCTGAGGCCCATTTAGGCCCATTTAGGGATAGTGTCCACCATCCTGGGGGCCCTCAGGCGCCACCTCTCTCCCTGTCCTTGACCCTGTCACACCCTCTCCTGACCAGAGGGTAAGCCCAAGGTCTGGCCGCACAGACTGGCTGGCCTGGGAGCAGGCTGGGGCCACGGGCCAGGAGGCTGGGGAGAGCCCACCAGGCTGCACGCGTGGCGGCCGTGGCTGGGCGAGGGGTGCGGCCTCCAAGCGGGGCTCATGAGTGCCGTCTCTGAAGCTCGGCCTGTGCCTGAGCATGCGGAGCCTGCCCTGGTACGTCCAGGCGAACCCCGACACCTTCTTCCCCCGCTCCTACGGCCTCC